TTTGGACTTAGGAGCGTGTTCGGAAAATTATTTGGAGGTTCGTAGTGAAATTTGGCTTGAAATGCCGGAAGTTAAATTTTTGGAAAGTTTGACCGGGGGGTTGACTTTTTGATATCGAGGTCGGAATTCGATTCTGGAAATTGGAATAGCTTCGTTATGTCATNATATCGAGGTCGGAATCCGATTCTGAAAATTGAAATAGCTTCGTTATGTCATTTATGACTTGTGTGCAAAATTTGAATTCATTCCGGATTGATTTGATGTGTTTCGGCACAAGATGTAGAATTTGAAAGTTCAAAGTTCATCGATTTTTAATTGAGATGTGATTCATCATTTTGATGTTGTTAGGTGTGATTGAGGCCTCGAGTAGGTCCGTATTATATTATGAGACTTGTTGGTAAATTCAGTTGAAGTCCCGAGGGTCTCGGGTGAGTTTCGGATGCTTAACAGATTAATTTTTGAATTTGGAAGACTGCTGGAGCTGAAGCCTCTGGTGTAATCGCACCTGCAAAAAAGTGGTCACAGGTGTGAGCTCGCAAGTGCGAGCTGGGGTGTGCTGAAGCGAGGTGCGCAGGTGCAGAAGGAACTTCGCAGATGCGGACTCGCACCTGCGCGAGAAGGAACGTAGAAGCGGCGTCTGGGCTAGGGATTTTAGAGCGCAGATGCGGAAGGCATCTCGCAGGTGCGGACTCACACCTGTGTGGGGGTGATCGCATAAGCGAGGGAAAAATTCGCAGAAGCGGTCGCGCAACAGCGATTAGAGATTCTGCAGGTGCGGACCCTCTAGACAGTGTACAAAAAACAGAGGGTTCCGTAATTTTCTCATTTTTGGACATTCCAAACACGGGTTGAGGCGATTTTTGAGCGAGAAATCACGGAAAAATTTGAGATAAGTCCCTTGAGATCCTTTCCACTCCATAATATTGAAGTATCATCGAATAATCCGACTAGATTGCATATTTTTTAGGTGTAAATTGGGGATTTGAACATAAGATTTAAAGATTTGGAGGTCAAGTTGAGGTCGAATTTTGGTAAAATTAGTATGGTTAGACTCGTGGTTGAATGAGTTTTCGGATTTAGTAACTTTTGGAGGGTTCCGAGACGTGGTCTCCACAGGCGATTTTTGAGCTAAATTTCGGATTTTAATGAAAAATTAGCATTTTCTTATGAAATTAATTCCAATAAATTTTATTGACTGAAACAAAATATTTATGACTAGATTCGAGGTATTCGGAGGCCGATTTTCGAGGCAAAGGCATAGCAGAGTGAAGAATTTCACATTTTGAGGTAAGTAACAATTTTAAATCTAGTCCTGAGGGTATGAAACCCCGGAATTTGTTATCATATGATTACTCTGGAGGTGACGCACATGCTAGGTTACGGGTGTGTGGGAGTGCACCGAGGAGATTATGACTTGATCCGTCCCGTGAGACCGTAAATTTGAATAACTTGTTGTTAGCTATATGCTCTCTATGTGTTATAGAAATTTGACTAGAAATTATGTTTAGGCTATATATTTGTACTGTTGGGACCCACAGAGGTCGTGTACATGTTGAACTATCTGCTTAATTGTTGTTTTCCCTCAGTCACAGTTTACTTGATTATTTTATCTCAGTCTCTATTATTCATTATTGATGCATCATATCATTGTTGTTTGGGCTGATTTCATGATTTCTAAGAGCCCCAGAGACTGGAGATATTTGTGATTGAGCAAGGCCGAGGGCCTGATTGTGAGATATATTATTATAGCACGTGAATTATCCGTACGGATCCAGATATTATATTATAGCACGTGAGTTGTTCGTGAGGATCCAGATATTTATATTATGGCACGTGAGTTGTTCGTGCAACACGTGAGTTATCCGTGCAGATTATAGCGCTTGGGATGTAGGAGCCCCTCCGGAGTCTGAACACCCCCAGTGAGCGCGGGTACCCATTGAGTGTGAGTGTTGAGGGCTGAGAGCCGAGTGGTTGAGTTGTTGTGACGAGTTGGGTGACTGTTGCCCTGAGAAGCTGTACTTACTTTTCATTTGTTGTTGTACTTAATTGCTATCCGTCATTGTTGTGAAATTCTCTGAAAGATTCTTATATCCGAATTACATGAACTTGAACTTTATAAAATTGATTTGACTTTAACTGCTGGATTTGAAAGCATGTCTATTCTTTGTTGGAATTATTAAAAGTGAACTATAACTGTGTAGCTCGTCATTATCTTCAGTTCCTTAGTTATTATTATTACTTGCTGAGTTAGTTATACTCATGCTACACCCTGCACTTTATGTGTAGATCCAGGTATTTTCGGATATAGCGGGTGCTAATTCTCTCGCACAATTAATTTTTCGGAGATTCAGAGGTAGCTGCCGTGTTTCGCAGACCTTGCCTCTCATTCCCTACCTTCTTATTTACTGCATTTAGTCTCAGACTATTACGGGCCATATTTTCAAACTTGTATTCATAGTAGATGCTCATGTACTCAGTGACACCGGGTTTTGAGAGTGTTTATATATGTATTAGTGAATTTTCTTCCACAGAATTTAATCATTTTGTTTTTAAACATAAAAGATATGAGAGTTTATTGAGATTGTCGGCTTGCCTAGTATTGAAATAGACGCCATCACGACAGGTGAGATTTTGGGTCGTGACATCCACGCTCCAAAAATCTGTGTTATGCACGTACTGTGCCACCTCAGCAAATTATGCCTAATAAGAGAGTTTTAATAGATATTAAGTGTCCAATTGATACAAGCTTTAGTTTAAGTGTCTAGTTGGAAATATGAGACAAGTTTGAGGGGCTGCATATGTATTCAACCAATAAAATTTCTACAATCTTCTGAAGTGCAATCCAAATTTTGCAGTCCATCAAGTTGAACCTCAGCAAGTCTAATATTCTTGGAGGGTCTAATGCCAGATCAATCATGAGCTACAAGATCACTCTTCAAAGAATCACAAACGGGCCTATATGTCAAAATGCAAAATAAGTTAAGCAAACAAATATTTCGGAAGACCTGAAGGATCCTGAATGAATTTTTATCGAAATTCTGAAACTCCTTAAATAAGCGAAAAATTAGTCCGAGGTACAATAATTGAGGGTATAGTGCATGCATAATACGCGCTATATATGTAGCGCGTATTATGCGTGCGCTACACCCTCAATTATTGGTGAGTTAGTAAAGTTCAAATCAATTATTTGTGGGTCATTAAAGTTTACATATAGCGCATGCAACCCATGCGCTATACCTTAACGGACAAACATGCCGTTAAGGTATAGTGCATTGAGGAAATACGTTATATATAAATTGGTGTTCAATTATTTTTTTTCACCTATTTTTGTGCTTTGAATTCAAAAAAGTAACACTTTGATTCCGGACTCCAGTTACCAATTTCTTGGTTTTTACGTAGCAGGAGGAGCAGGACCAAGTTCTTCAGGTTAAAGTCACTGGTGACGTGTCTTCAGTCCCCAAGAATGAACTTGTTAACTATTTCCAACAATTTGGTGAAGTGAGAGACATTTCTTATATACTTCATCTTTTATGTGCATTGATTTGATTGATATTTCTTTGTTTATTTTGCAGGGACACCATGAAGCAATAGAAGACTACATTCAAAATGGAAGTCATGAACCACATACTGATGAAGAAATGGTGTGAATATTTAATGTTTTTAATTTTTGAAATTTGTTTTAGATTTGTGAGCACAACTTTATTGAAAATTTAATAGGTTGGACTTTTCTTTGATCAAGATTTTTTCCCTCACATATTAACTTTTTCATAGGATAATATACTTTCTTTCTTTTAGACATTTTGATATCAAAAAATTATCTATAATTGAACGCAGCCGATAAAAAAATAATAATTTTATATTGATTAATGTACACTACAAAATCCAATCAGAATTACTACTACTTGGTTTATAGCTTAGTATAAGTAGTCTTTTATTATCAGACAAATAATAAAAACAAAAAGAACTGTTAAATGGCAAGCTAAAATGCAAACTAATGGTTTGGATTTATAAAACAAGATTTCGATGTGTTTTATGTCAACTTATTTATAACGGTAGTATTCGAGTCATTTTGAATGCATCTCCACCGTTCACCTAAAAGATATGTAATATTTTAGAAAATATTCAAGGTTAATGAATGTTATTTAAAATTCTCAATCACCTAATAATTTTTTAATTTTTACCACAATGAAAAAGGAAGAATATAATCAATATATTTGGGTCTTTCATGTATCTACTCAGGGATTATTAGTATTACACCTTAAATTCATTATAACAGGATAAACCATATTACGCCTTAAATCATGGTATAAATTAATCCTCATATTGCTTATATCGAGAACATATGTCCAAGCAAATACCATTCATTATATCCGTAACAATTCCTATATTATCATTTATCGAGTAAATAATCCCTACATTATATCCTCAGCATAACTAGACCGCAAACCAAATGGACCCAAATTATTCGTGGAAAATAAAAGAAGGCTTGTGAAGAAAAGTAATCTTTCACGAAATACTCCATGATGCATTGCTGGCCCATTACACAACTAGGAACACTTTTCTTCCTTTGTCATTCAACAAAATCATAACATTATAAGGGAGATTAGCATAATCTACCCACAAGAAACATCAAAATATCAGTTAATCAGTAAAGGGGAAAAGGAAAATTGTCACACGTCCGGCCGGACCACAAGGGTTTATTGTACTTAGCATTAACCTGTATTTTTACGACTCGAACACGTGACATCCTAATCACATGGCATCAATTTTACCAGTTTGTCACAAGTCCTTATCTCGAATGTGAGAAAGGCACAAAGAAAGACAGAAATTTAAACTTGTCGACAAGTTACTTGGTATAAAAAAGGTAGCCCTGTGCACTAAGCTCCCGCTATGTGCATTTCCACAAGAGGCTATTTCCACGGCTCGAACCTATGACCTCCTGATCACATGACAACAATTTTACTAGTTACGTCAAAGCTCCCTTTTTTTTCCTTCTTTCCTACTTCAAACAATGTCTCATGTTATTTAACATTTCATTGCCTTGTGATCACAAACAAATTCATCTATATACAAAAGATGAACACTAAAAAAATAATTCTCAATCTCACATGTCTAGAATGTCAAATAAAAAGAACAAAGAATTTTGTGAAATAGCACCCAAAATCTTATTTACAAGATGGTGGAATAGCTCATATCTTGGTCTGGTGTAACACTTTTGGACAAACCAAACTCGGTACTAATGTGTTGCTGTGACGGGTTCTTAGAACCCTAGTTTCAGGCGCTCCTCGAGCTTTAGTCTTAAATCTTCTTCTGCAGGAAACTTCCCACCACTTTCCAACGTTTTGCGCCACCAAGTAGTTAGTTCATCCTGTAAAGAATTAGAAACGAATTTCATATTTAGAGTAAGTGAATTCAAAGTGGCTGCACTTTATTAGCGCACATAAAAGAGTCAAGTAAAAACAACACCAGGACAATTAGATGCAACATCAAATTAGCATAATCATGCAGCCAAGTAAGCAACTGAATATGGTGTTTCGTGCAAACATGTTATTTAATCTTTACATTTAAAAGTGATTAATTCCCTAAAGAGAAGAAGAAAAACGAAGTACTTAACATGATAATAGCCTCACTTTCATCATTTGATGCAGGGTATGGGTAACCCGGTGCACTAAGCTTTCGCTATGCGCGGGGACCGTGAAAGGACCGGACCACAAGGGTCTATTGTACACAGCCTTACCCTGCATTTCTGCAAGAGGCTGTTTGATGCAGGGTATAGCTTTCCAAATAAAAAGATAGAACAGAAATGGTTAACTAAGCATGAAAATAACCTTAGCTTTCCCTATGTCTAGTTGAATTAGGAACCATCATTTGATTGCCCAGAAAACAAAAACTATCATCGACAGCTCCATAAAAAATCTCTGTATAACGGGTAACTAAAAAAGTATATTACCTCCAAAAAGTCTTGGTTGGAGACATACTGGCTTCCCACAAAACACTCGACTCCACAGACATTTACTGATATGCGTTTCCTAGAATCTCTCTCAGATTTTTCTCCTTTTACACCTACGGATTCCAGAAAAGGAAGGTTATTGACAAGCGTAAAAAAACAAAGATAACAATCCGTTCTGCATTGAAAGGCAGGGAAAAAGTTTGTAACGAAAACTATAATGAAAGCTTACCAGTTATGCATGCAACATAGTATCCTGTACCTCCTCGCCCTGCTTCCCACTTCCCTAATCGTAAACGCAGGAAAAGCCCATCCAAATGTGATAGTGAAGCATTGGAGTTCATCCATCTAAGGAAACCAAAATTCAAAACGTAATTAGACTGAAAAAATCAATAGGTATATATGTAACAGAGCGACACTAGCAGTAAAGAATGCCAAATAAATTAAATTGGGACAAGAAGTGAAGCTTTAGAACCTCTATTGCCCAAACGAAAAGTCATATATTAGCCGAGTTTTGATAATAGACCGATAATGCTTATGCAAAATCTTATGTATGCCACCGCATCTAACTCTAGCCTATCTATTTTGTGGAAGCTTTACCTAAATCTACATCTAAAGAAATAACAAACTTGACATTAATATACTAACTTGCATAACATGCTTTGCTTACTTGAGAATATCCACACGAGACATTCGGAGACCCCTGATGACATCAAAAATTCCTTTGGGGACATCTGTTGTTATCTCCTTACTAACAAGATTGGAAGAAATTTTACTTTCTTTTAAACTGTTCTCCACAGGATCAGAAATTCTCTTTTTCTGAATTTGATTGGAACCAGAAGTTCTTGCAAACCAAAGCTGATTTTTACTGTGATAAGCATGATTAGCAAGTTCAATCCGTTGACTCTGCTTTATTTCGAGAAGGCTAGATGAACATTCATTGCCTGTGAAGAGCTGCAAATTATCATTCCTGTTCCGGTTTGGAGATGATGTTGGGCAGGAAATAGCCCAATGATCAATTTGAAAACATCTAATGCACAGACAAGTAGATTCCTCAGCCCCATTATAGGCCCTGATGTTTCTAGTAAGAACTTCCAACTCAGACTCCGTCACCTCTGAACAGTTGCGTAAGTCGTGGCCGCTTCTGCCGCAGAAGAAACAAGTTGTTCTTGTGTAACTGTACTCACCTCTAGTTGAAGAAGGTAGTATGTGTTTAAGGGCATCCAATCTCCTGGCAAATAGAGAGGCCAGCGCCTCGGATTTCTTGAACTTGGCGGAAGGTATAATAGGATGTATATTACTCTGATTGATCTCTTTTGAGCTGGCTGCAACATCATCGTCTTCGTCTCCAGACGAAGTCTCCCTTGCGCCTGAGATTTGGTGTTCAATCACACAATCAACACTCGTTTGAGCTTGAGGATTAGGCCTTCTGCATTCCGTGGAACATGTTAGTGTTTCATGTGCAGTTGGCTTGGGATTATCTGCGCTCAGAACAGTAGTCCCGGGAGTCCTATTTGAGAATCTAGTTATCCACAGACTATGAAGAGACTGATTTCTGTTAGGCGTGCCATAAACTGTGTCGCGTTCAGATGAATGACAGGTATTGTTTTCCTCACCAATGCCGGTTTTAAGTCTAGACAATGAGTCCGTGGAGTTCAGCTCATCATTTGCTTTGCTACATGCAATGTCACTCGAAGCTTTGTTTTCTGCTGAAGCAGTCACCTTGTCCCCCCCATGGCACGATATCGGAGGAACTTCAATGAGGACGTTGTTATCTTTCGGTGTTTCTTTTTCAGTTACTTTCAAGGTAGGACAATACAGCGACTGAAATACAGTTTGAAACCCCATAGACCTGCTAATCGGATCATGATCTTTGTCATACATAACAATTTCTTGATTATTAGTCTCTTTTCCTTGATTTTCCTCATCATTATTAGGAGTGAAGGTAAGAGCGAGAGTAGGAGATTCTTTAAGATTGGACTTAGAGAAGCCTTTTACCATGTTCGATATCCAAGTCATGAAAGAGCTATTACGCGCAACTGTCGATTCTGCCGCAGAATCTCTATGCACATGCGTTCTGATTCTTTTACTTCCAACGAAAGATTGCTGCTCAAAGTTCCACCGTTTCTTACCCTTTGGGATTAACCCTGTACCGTTGCAGCTTTCTACGCTTTCATGGCTATCTTCCTCACCATTCGACATCTTGCTGTTGACATTTCCTTCGGATAAGGCTTTCCCTTTCCCTTTCCTTCTATAAGACGACGACCTGCTATATGTCGGAGAAGCTTCAAGAGGAACAGAACTGTCCCTAAGAAGTTGCTCCTCCTTCTGATCACAAGTCTCCTTAACCCCTGGGAGATGTACATCATTCTCCGCTATGCATTCTGCTGGCGGACTGGTAGTATAGGAGTTCTTTTTTCTGTTTCTACTATCTTCTTCTACAGCAAATTCTAGTCTTTCGTCCGCTTCCGAGTCTTTGACAGTAGGAATTAAAGCATGACTGCTAACCAAAACATCTCCGTCTCTGCGCTTATCATTAGCAGAAATTCCTTGATTCGTTTTCTCTGCTAGAGGTTTAGTAGTTCCTGTATCAAGCTTGGAATCGGCTCCATGTTGCTGAGATCTCTCTGTTCCTAAATCTCCCTGACCTGCATCAAACAAAGTGATCTAATAAGACACATGTTATGAAATGAGAATGTCGCCATCCTTTCGTCAGCCCACTAAATCAACATCGTGGAAGGTAACGCTCCTCAATCATAACATAACAGAACATCATTAAGGCTACTTTTTATTCATTTTTGGCCCGTCTGCTGAAAATAATTACGGGCGCTAGCCCAAATATACAAAACATATACATTTTGCTGGCTATTATTTTTTAGGGTTGCCCAAAAATGCAATTTTCCCTTAAGGAATTTATGTATAGGAGATACTCCGCAGCTTAGACACAGAACACATATCTGAATGCTTCTGTGTAACACGGTCTAATAATAACGTGAGGTTCGGGTAGTAGACTACACCTGCATGATTTTCAGAACTTTCAACCGTCTGAGGGATCTGGATATCTTGACTAATGCAAAAGCCCTTCTCGGTATTCTTCAAACTTTCCGCATCTTGATTAGTGCCTAAAGTATCGACTCCATCAGCAGTGTTCATTATCTTCACTTGGCTGCTGCACCCTGTCAGAAGACTGTTTACTCAGCGTTTAACAATAAAGAGAATAAACACGAGCAACAACAACAACAACAACAATAACACAACATATCCAGTATAATCCCACATGGTGGGATATGGAGAGGGTAATGTGTACACAAACCTTGCTCCTACCTTGTGGAGATAGAGATGCTGCTTTCAATAGACCCTCAGAATAAACACGAGCAACACTAGATAAATATTGCTAGTAAAGATATGTATAAGGCAATAGCTAAATGACTAAGATGATAGCCTTACCTACTTCATTTCCGCATTTTGATCCCATAACGTTGGTCTCATAAGCTAGACTATGTTTGTCATCAACTACTCCATCCAAAAGAAACCTTTCCGGAGAAACGATTGTTCTTTCATTAACAGCATTTTCATCATAAGTCCCCTTAAATCTGCCGCTTTGTGATGGTGGAGAAATCACATTGCTTAGTCCCACATTCCACAGAAGAACAGGTTTTTTGTCGGCTAATCTGCTATCAGCACATTTCAGGCTCAAACCTTTGTGAGGGGACCAAACTAATTCAGATAGGGGATCAGATGCTGCAAATGCCATGTCGACCATTGAGCTTGCATTTACACCTGCACCCGAATCATCTTCCGTCTTTGTCTTAACATTATGAGTGGTGCAACCTACAGCAAGTCCTAAATCAATATCATCGTCATTGCTGTTTGTCATCAGCAAGGAAGACTACAGCCTATAAGGAAGCCTGAAAAAAAAGAACATCTCGAAATATTTCAGTCACTAGCAAAGATCAGTGCAAAACAACTAAATAATTTTTTCTGGACATGAGACTAATAAAACTATGGTGATACATTTATGATAAGCTCAATTGCTCTTCTGAATTATTTTTAAACTATGTTACATAACAGTCAACAATAATGTCGGATTTCTTGATATAACCCCCGTCATTCCCACACAAGGGAAAAGGAAAAAGAAAAAAAAAAGGGCAGCCGGTGTACTAAACTCCCGCTACGTGCGAGGTCCGGGGAAGGGCCGGACCACAAGGGTCTATTGTATGCAGTCTTACCCTGCATTTCTACAAGAAACGGTTTCCACGGCTCAAACCCGTGACCTCCTGATCAGATAACAACAACTTTACCACAACTTTACCGGTTACGCCAAGCTTCCCCTTCGGAAAAAGAAAAAAGAAATTACATTAAAAAAATTTCTCCCTCTCTTTCTTCAAGGAAGATTGAGAGTAAGTATTATGTATCATATCCAAATAAAAAACTAGCAAGCCTCCTAGGGATATGCTACAATAATGGTGCATTATTTATTTATTTATTATACTTAGATTCAGCTGAGATTGGCACCCAGATTCTTGGATCTACAGCTATAGAGCTTTCTTTTTGAGCAATTAATATATCGAAGTACAAAGTCTACACCTCTCATGAACTAATATTTCTACTAACTACCACGGAAGAGTGTGGTACGTCAGATAGAACCTTCTACCTTTAATCAGAAATCTCGACTTCAAGCCTTAAGAATAGAAAACAATTTAGTACATAGCTCTTCGCCCCTCAATGGGCCTACTCAGCGCGAATAGCGTATCAGTATAGACTCCATTGGGTAAAGAGAGCTTTATCCCCTCAGTGGGTCTACCCGATGCGAATTCTGAATTAGTCATGACAGTAGACTTCGAGTATCGAATGATTAAACCAATAAAGAAAAAACCTTCCATGATAACTATACCCCCACTACACACCCACCCAAACCCTTCTCTCCCTCATCACCAGCAGGCGAAGCTATGTGTGGCAAAAAATGGTCAACTGAACACCCTTCGCGGACTTTGAACACTCTTATTGAATTTTCTGACTTCGCCACTCACCACTAGAAAAACAGATCATCTCCCAAAACTTCAGAATTAATGTTTTTAAAATTTAAAAACTGTAAACAAAATAGAAAAAGGATCAGTTCACGATAGTTAAGTTTAGACTTCAGAATTCAGAAAAATTACTAGACATTCCAGCTGCTAATTAGCTCTGATTAATTACCGTCACATATATCAAAAACCAGTGATCTAGTTCCTGCATAATGATGCTACTACCAGCAAAAAATAAGATAAAACATTCAACAAAAATTAGGAAGATTGGCACTTTAGCAAGTTTCACAAATTATAAACTGCAGAAAAAAGAAAGAAAATATATACAAAGCAGACCTTGATCCAAGAACTTTTTAACTACTTTAAGACCATGCTTAAACTTTCTTCTAGAAAGCATAATTCAAATATATTAAGAAATATTCTAAAAGTTTCAAGTAACTAAAAAACCCAAGATTCCGACTTAACCATCACGTTAATTAATTAATATATTATCACCACTAAGCATGAGAAAGTGGGTAATTAATTAAGAAAACATAACAAGTACCAAAAATAAAATATTTACACTTTTATTAGTTAAGCAAATCAAAAAACACCACGTACTGTTTTCTCCAAAAATCCATAGCAGCCTCTTTTTATTTCTCCCAAAAAAAATCACAACTTTATCATTTCTTCAATTTTCATTCATTTTTGCAGGTAATTTTACTTGCAAAGAGAAAACTAGTATATTCAGAGTAGTATGTTTTTTCTCAAGGGATAGAAGAAGAAATTGAGACACAAACAAATTGCAAAAATGGCCATGTTTAAGAATTTGGGTATATACATGTTTGTAGAAGAAGGAACCAAAGCTCTCAAAACTGAAAAGTCCAAAAGCAGTACATAAAGTCATAAACTTTATTGACTAGTGGTTGAGATAATGCGACGTGGACTGTTCCTTGCCAGTTGCTCTCAACAACAAGAATATAATATTCATATATTTCATTTTAAAAAGAATTTTTAAAATTTATAATTTAAAACAAGCTACAAAAATTTATGTAACTATTAATTATCTCATTAAAGATAAAGTAAAAATTTTAAAAAAATAAAATTACTTTTTATGTGGCAATATTTTCTTTTTAGTCTGATTTTAAATAGAAAAAATAGTTCTACATTTGAATATAATTTAATTTATGCTATCTATTTACTTCTTAATAATAAGCATTTATTGCAACACAGATGTTATGGTATGGTTAAGATCATAAGTTTTAAAAATTTTATAATATATATATATATATATATATATNAAATTTGGTGCTTGTTTCACTCATAAATTAAGACAGAGGAAATACTAATGTGTCTTGCTAATTAAGAAAATTACACATTCTATGTTTAGAAATAATTTTACTTTATCCTTGTTCAGATAATTTATAACTATAAAAATATCATAAGGCCACTATTTTTAAACGTTTTCTTTTCTTTATTAAATTTCGTGGGCAGCTATCAAACACGTGAAACAAAAATATTTTACTTGTTCGAAAGGAAAAGAAAAAAGAAAATGGAAGCAGGAGTTTGTCAATGTTGTGTGATACAAAATTCAAAGTTTTTTGCGTGAGGAATAGTACACACACAAATGACTTCGTATTTGCAGCCATAAAAAAATCATTAAATAATTGCCATTTTTGTAATGTTTAAGTAGCAACGTGGGGTCAAAAGAGAAAAAAGAATGGCCACTTTTGGAATTGGAATAGTTTTTAACCACTTAATCAAAGTACAAATAAAATAGTAGAAAATAAGATTGCATGCTTCATTGGGAAATAATTAATGGTTTGAATTATATCACCTTTTAATAAGTACTTTGTTTGATACAAATGTTAAGCATAGTGATAAATACTTATTTATTCTTAATCAAGGAATTTGAGTTCAAACTCTATTTATGAAATCACTTTTGCTAGAGAATACTTTATTTTCAATATAAATTTTTTTGACTTGAATCGAAATTTAGTCCGATTTTACCGTGAGTATCGAACAATAGAAAAATCAAGAAAAGGTACTTTATTTGATGGGATATGAAAGTGTCATAGTGGTGAACATGGAATTTTGGAATTCTTTATTTATTCTCCTTTTTTATGGAAAAGGGCATGACTTTGGACTAACATTCAACAAAAACAAATGATTGCAAATAATAAAATATTATTAGAAAACATTCGCTAATTAGTCGAATAACAATAATATAAAATTAGAGATTACGTGATCAGTTTTGGAATATGTTGACTATTTAAAGATTTGGTTCTCGTAGAGATTCTAGGGATGGGAGAATTAAATTAAATAATAATTTTCGAAGTGGATGTAATCACTAAAAAATTATTTGGACCTCACTAGCATCCTATCCATTATAATAGCAGAATTTGATAGGAGATTTAGATTTACTTGCATTACTTATTGGGACTCGGTGTTTATATCAAATACAAATAATTTAACCTGAATAATAGAAAATCAAATCGAAAATATATATTATAATTATAGTTAAGTGATAAATATGTCAAAAGTTAAAACATATGTCTTGTGAATTAGTGTAAATATTAAGTGGAGAGAAATTTTTACCTCTATTATTCTAGTTTTTTTAAATAAAATATATTCCCAACTCTTAAATGGCGAATAAGATATTTATGAAAACTCATTTTCATGGATTTAATTCAAATATATTCACGTGTATTAACAAAAAAAAATGGTTGAGATATGTAGTCAGAGAGAAAAGAAGTGAGGAGTGAAATGGTCAATTAAAATTCAATGAGTATTTTGTGTTAAGTCCAATTTCCAAGGTTGTTAATGACAATACCTACCTAAAATTCTGTTAAAAATCTTATTGCAATAGACATTCACAATACTTCAATTTTAGTTCTACAATGAGATATTTCAATCAAAATGAAACACTCATCAAAAAGAAAAAAACATCTAATTTTGGTTCAAATTAGTTTTCTCAAGAAATATTGTTCACATAAAAGTAATCTTATAAATGTCAAAATATTAACTTGTTCTAATTGAAAGTGGTGCTATAGTTAGAGATTGATGAGAGGGAAATTTTTGCTTAAAACTCGATTTTCAAAAGTTGATTCTTTTGTTCTCGCTTAATTTTTAAAAAATTCAGTGTCGAAATACAAATTTAGAGAGAAATTATTTATTTGAATTTTTTTGAGAAAATATTCTTGAAGAACACCCGAGTCAATAATTGTAATCTGGATCGTTTAATTATTTCCAATAAAATTCAAAAATTCACTCTATTCTTTAGTATAAACATTATTTTTGGTTTTTGAACTTTTTAGGAAAAGCTTAAGAGCTTGTTATATATCAAAATGAAAGGTCTAAAGTTGCATAGCATGTGAACATCATATCCGTTTCATTTTCATAAAATAGCTGATTGATAAGGTTTAAATGACTTAAAACAAGTAGGAAAATTACAAGTAGGCCTAAATGTTACTCTTTAAAATGACATGAAAAATCCCTATGATTGTTTTTATGGTAAGAAGTCAAATTTAGGCATCTAAAGAGGGGACCTTTAGCAATAAAAGAAAGAATTGATAGCAATTTGACACAATTGAAAGTTACAGGTCAAGTGGTCAATGTTAATCCAAAATTATGGGACCAAAAGTGGGGTCTATATTTAAACAAATAAATCCATAGTTATTTAAGGCTTCTGGCCCAATAAGGATAATTTCACTATGTTGAGTTTTGGCGCCTTCCACCATATCCTAGTATTATTTTTACACACATATTCTTAATGTATGCAAAAATGTGGACCTGCGTAAATACAAGATATTTTGTACACCTAGCTGTCTTTTATTCATAGTTTTCGCATGTCACCAAGTAGTATAATGGAATCAATGCGCGCGATTCTCCATTTTTAACGGGAAGACTCAGGGTTGAGTTATAGGAATAGAGAAACTCTTGATATTAGTATTTTTCCTTAGTAAATCCTGAATGGTTAAATTTGAATTAATCGGGTTAGTAAGTTTTCAGATACTGAATGCATAAAACACAAAAGAAAAAGAAGGTATAGTGTATGTATGTGTGTCTATATCCATTTCATTCTTCATGTTCGTAGGTTATTTTTCATATGACACTATTATTATTTAGAGAATCAAATAATTCTTTCTTCGATTATGATATTTCCCAAATATTTTTAATATTCTTAATAAATTATGATTTATTATATTGTCATTGCAAAGTTTGCTTTGAGAATTGGATATTTTAATCTTCACGTTCGTCATTACTTCCCATGAGTATAGATATCATATAACTTTGTCCACAAAATTTGGACAGATGTAAAGAAAATTACCTACTGATTTGCTTTATTGAACCTAAGACATCATCCAAGACTTGTATCATTTGATGATACCATATAAATCGTTAGAAACATGTGAAGTGTATGGCTAACCCAATAACAAAAGTTTCGTAAAGGGGCTGAAGCAGGCTACCATGAGATAAAAGATCTTATTTCTAAAGAGAGACTTCATGATTTTATATCCATTTCATTAACCATTAGGCCAAACATTTCGCCATTCTTTTTTTTCAAATAAAGTAAGTATATTTTATTTTATCGTTGAAGGAAGAAGCAATTTTTTTTCTTCTTTTTCTCTGTTTTGATATTAGATGGTCCATTTAACAAAAGGGTTGTGGTGAAGTGATAAATATTCCTTCATCCTTAACCAGAGGTCTCGGGTTCGACTCCCTGGGTATAGAGTCGCCTTTGTTAGGGAGCACTTTATCCCCCAATGTGGGACTTTCCGATACGAATCCGGATTTAATCGGCCCCAATGTGGGTACCGGACAAGGGTGGAAAACAAAAAAAAAAAAAAAAAAAAAATGGTCCATTTCAAGCTTTTATCCATAGAGACGAGGAGAGTTGAGCCATGAATTTGCATAATATAGAAAGGGTCCAAAATATTAGAGAGTAAGTCATTTCGTCATAAAGACCCCTTGTTTGGGTATTGTGACAGCCTGAGAAGCCATGCTATCCTCCCATACTATCTTTGGATGCAGTAAAATGTAATTTTTTTTTTGTTTTTTGTTTTGTTTTCCAACAGTTTTTCGTCGCATTACCTCCACCTTAATTAGAATTTGTGACGCGTAAGATCTATTAAAAAGGGAAGCGCTCCCCGTCATAATTTTTTTAATTCGCAGTAAAAAGGGTTGAATCATCCCAGTACCTTCTCTAAGGATAATGTAGTAGTGAATACAGGGCACATACACTTTTTTAGAATCAAACTATATTTTCTAGAAAAATAATTGTTATACTTATTATTCCATTTTGATTGTCATAAAGAAATAGCGAATGGACTATTATTTCAAATTCACTGATTTAAAATCTTAAATTCACCTATGACAGTACCATTTCCTAGCATTAGTGAAGGGTTGGTATTTTTGCATATAACATCATCACCTGTTTACGAAAAATGTACTACAACATTGATTCAAGACAATTTTAGTCATCCCAACTTTAGATTTTCATATCAAAATGTTGATATGAACATAAGATGCAGTCTATACATGGAAATGTTCTAGTCAAGAGAAGTGAACAATTTAATCTCTGTGCTGCTTGTCAAAATGATCTAATACATAAGTTAGAAACCATAACTATCCAAACTGAGAATACGAAATTCACGCTATACTACAAGAAAAAGCCTTATTAGGAACCAACATTTAATGACGGGTTCGAATCTGATCCCTAAAAATATACTATTTGGGATGAGAATATATGTTGGTCCTTAATTCTCTAATTTTTCATTAAACCGATGGAGGGAATTAAGTGTAGTTCATTAAAGGGTTGCTATTTGCTCCCTGAATCACACAATTTTAGGGCAAAAAAGAGGCGCCACACCAAATTAGAATAAAATATAAAAAAAAAATTAACTTAAAAATCTTTATCTTTTTCAAGGAAATAAGAAACCTTTAGCTGGCTCGCACTCACGGCTCATCTCCCTCAATGAAATTAAAATCCCTAAATCACTACCCTCTAAACCTAAATCTGCATATTCCTCTCAAAGTCTATGAATGACGGTATGTATACTGAAACCAGAGCTACATTTTCTACTCTTCCAGTTTTCATCTCTGTCAAGGTAGGTTTACAACCCATTTGTGCAGGTTTGGGGAGAAAATTAAACTAGGAATGGACGACTATCTCACCAAAAGTAAGCACACTTTCTTTTGAGAAAACCTTTACTTATTACTTCTCATATGGGTTTTTGTTAAATCTAGGTTTTTAAAGAAATTGTTTTCATTAGCGATTCTATTTTGTGGTTGCTCAGCAAGATTTTGTAAAATCAGTTTCTTTCAAGATTATGTTTTCTTGCGTGTCCCCTTTTTGAATTGTTTGTAAAAGCCTTTTCTTTGTTTAGTTTTCTTGTAATTTGTTCTTCATCTTCTATTCTCTCTTCGTTAGTTTCTAAAATTAGTGCTTAAAGGAACTCCCCTTTTTTTAAATTTAGTTTGGAGTAAAGATATGTCTTCAATTGTTTATTTCCCGTAAAAAATGATCTTTACTTCAATTTTGTTTAGATTGTTTATTAGTGAATTGTTATATTTCAATCCTTTTGTAGCAGTAATATAGTGTTAGATATTAGACTACCTTTTGCCTTTTGAAAACTTATTTAACGTAATATTTAGTTAGTTTTTCTCAACCTCTCTAACTTTTAGTGAGTCTAGTTTGCATTGGCTTAGCTTTAGAAAGTCTTTACTGTGACTTGCTATTGTATTTAGCTTCTGGAGTATTTGTGGCTCATTTTTAACTCAACAAAATGAGAACTAGCAACTCTATTTTCAATCAGCCCCGTTTTAGTTCTATCGTTGTAGACGAAAGTGAAAATTTCCAGAACCGAGTGTTTGATTTTAGTGCATTCATATTTGGTTAGTTTTATTATCTTTGTCTTTTTTTATATCAGTATTAAGACAGTCATAATGTTAGGTTATAGTCAAATTTTCATTTAATTCAATTAACAAGCATGAAATACTATAACTATAAACAAAAATACATGGAATGGGTAGCTAGTACACTAGCTGATAAGTGTTGTATAGAGAAACTCTGTGTTCTGTTTGTTTTGACAATTAATTTACTGTTTATCTCATTCTGGTAGTATATCATTATTATCCTTAAATCTTATCATTGGTTAATAATTATTAACTTTAGCTCATTGCTATGAAGGTTATGTATTTCTAATGACCAGAGAAATTGTTGATGAGTAACAATTAGTACACTGGTTGATAAGCGTTGAACTGAAAAATTATGTATTCTCCGTTTTGACAATCAAGTTGCAGCTTACATATTCGTGGAGTATTATTAGTTTTTGTTTCTTAAATGTCATAAGTTAATAATTATTAACTCTTAACACCTTTCCTCAATAATATCAGCTTTTGTGGCCAAACACTCACAACGTGGCTCAACATGCTTAGCTCCTTACAAAAGTCTCTAATATTTAATTTATATAACGTTTCTTAAAAGGTTATGTGCATTTTAGAGTACTTTCATTATCCTATATGTTTTTATAATTTGATTCTTATGTAACCTTCCAAGTTTATGGCAGAAGTAAGCAGTAGAAGGAACTTGTTGATATTCGGCTTGATGAAGCCTACTTAATTGGGGTGCAAAATTTTTTGGATTAAGCTTTTAGAAAATCAGGAAAATGACATGAAATACCATGTCCATGTGATAAACAGTTAAAGACTCAAAATTGTGGGATGCTTGTAATTGGTGCGACTAGTAAAGATGGCGAGAGCCTTGATTATTATGGAGTTTTGACTGATATACTAGAATTGCAGTTCATCCTGGTAGAAGAGTAATTTTATTTCGATGTAGTTGGTTTGATGTGAATGATGAAACAAAAGGAGTTAAATAAGATGAATATGAATTTGTAAGTGTTAATTGGGGGAAAGTTTTGAAAATAAATGAGCCTTTTATATTAGCGGACCAAGCATAACAAGTTTTTTATACTAATGACAATTTCAATAAGGGTTGACATCTGGTGATGAAAATGAAACCTCATGATTCCTATGAGATTCCGCAACAAATGGATGATGATATTAAGTAATAAAAAAATCCTACACAAAATACACGAAAAAGAATGGACGAGGTAAAGCATCTTTTATGTATTAGTATATTACCGTGTACCTCCTGGTTTACATGATTATTTTGCTAATACATTATTTTCATCATGTCTTTCTTATTTTATTTTCTTTTGACTCTTTTTAGGTTTAGTGTGAAACAATCAAAGACAGAAAGTAAGATCGGATCCACTACGAATGCTACGAAATATGGTTTCCTTCCGCCAGGTGCCAAAGTATTATCATTTCTTAAGTGTTAAATCATCTATGTTCTGGATTTTCTGTTATAAAGTTGATATCAGCTGCAAATAATGCAAGGCTTAGATGTCAAGCTACTCTTTGGAATTTAAAAAATCTAGACTTTAATTAGTTAAAAGAAACAAAAGGCAATGCTACTATGTGCTAACAATACAGAGAGGCATACCAGCAGAATGATATATCTGCTATATAAGTGTGTAGCTAAGTTATATTTGCAAAATCTTGAAACACCCAATTGAAGTCTAGATTGGTTACTGTACATTCTTCGGTCAAAAGAACAGAAAAAGTCAAGATTTTCAAGTCTCGACACCTTATTTTTAAGTAAATGATGCAATGACTTATGTGTTTGCACATTAAACCTGCACAAGCACATTAAACTTGCACATTAAATGATGCAATGACCTATGTGTTTGCACATTAAACCTGCACAAGGGCAAAGCTTATACTACTTTAGCATGAAAGATGATTGTGCTTCTGTCAAGAGTACTTGTGATTTTTACCTTTAGCCAAAAAGTTATTTCATAATTGTATTTAATATTTTAACTCGAGTAGTGGATAAAATTATCCTTAAACATATTTTCCAAAGTTCTAATTCATTTTTTTTGTTTGACTTCATGCAGTCCCTTTCACGTTGCTGTTTAACTTTTGAATTGTATATGATCACACTTGATGAATTTGGGCAAATAGTTAAATCATTGTTAGGGTAAAATTATAAAATATTCTTTAACCAATTATCTTGTTGATCTTTATTGGTTTTTCTGAAGAGAAATTTTACAGGTTTTGGAGATTGAAGTTTACAAGTAAAAAATCTTATTTGGCGGGCATACAAGTTGACTATCATTTTGCTAGGAATATTGGATAAACTTTGTATAATGTCTAGGGATGTTATCTAGGTTTTTTGTGTGAGTTCTGTCAACAATATTGTGATTGCTTAATTGAAGTGTACCTGTAAATGACGTCATTAATGGAATGTTAATAAATTTTTGTAAAGCAAAATTTATCTCTATATTATATTTTTGTTATCTAGTTTTCTTTTTACAAGTTGTATTTGACATGCACAAGAATGAAATAAGTAAAATTAGTGACCAGAATAACTGGTCGCTAAATATTAACAACCAGAAGGGACCAGGATTTCAACTGGTCTCTAATGAGATTTTACGACAAGACCCAAATCCCGTCGTAATTGACTTTTAGCGTCGGAGGCTATAGCGGCGGGTGGCGACCAGATATTTTTGGTCGCTGTTGATGTTTAGAGACCAGAAAGTAACTTTTAAGGACCATTTTTCCCTTTGCTAAAAGGCTATTTTTCTTTTAGTGCTACTAACAACAATAAAAACAAGTGATGTTGGGTCTCAATGTACAAAATATTGTTTGTCCATTTGAGACATGATGAGATTAATCCTCGTGGAGTTCGTGAAACTGAAAACTTGTTCCCTCGGAAGCTAGCCCAAAGAAGGAACACTTACGAAATGGAACGTGGTCAAAGCTCAAATCAATCATAGTTACAAGTGCACACTTAAAGTAAATCTTAAGCTATAGTATCCTAGACAATTGACAAAGTTGATATTTTTCGTTTTTGTACATCCACTACAAATGGCACCACTTACCAGGCTTAACAACCCAACTTGAAAAGTACATGTCTACACGCCTAGGTTTGTCTCGCCTTTGAAAAGTTGGAGAGGGTGCACCTTGCAATAGATTTCATGTTACAGATATCGTGCCATCGGGGGGCCAATGTGACTGCTTCAGCAGAAAACAAAGCTTCGAGTGACATTGCATGTAGCAAAGCAAATTTTGGGCTGAACTCCACGGACTCATTGTCTAGACTTAAAACCAGCATTGGTGAGGAAAACAATACCTGTCATTCATCTGAACGTGACACAGTTTATGGCACGCCTAACAGAAATCAGTCTCTTCATAGTCTGTGGATAACTAGATTCTCAAACAGGACTCCCGGGACTACTGTTCTGAGCGCAGATAATCCCAAGCCAACTGCACATGAAACACTAACATGTTCCACGGAATGCAGAAGGCCTAGTCCTCAAGCTCAAACGAGTGTTGATTGTGTGATTGAACACCAAATCTCAGGCGCAAGGGAGACTTCGTCTGGAGACGAAGACGATGATGTTGCAGCCAGCTCAAAAGAGGTCAATCAGAGTAATATACATCCTATTATACCTTCCGCCAAGTTCAAGAAATCCGAGGCGCTGGCCTCTCTATTTGCCAGGAGATTGGATGCCCTTAAACACATACTACCTTCTTCAACTAGAGGTGAGTACAGTTACACAAGAACAACTTGTTTCTTCTGCGGCAGAAGCGGCCACGACTTACGCAACTGTTCAGAGGTGACGGAGTCTGAGTTAGAAGTTCTTATTAAAAACATCAGGGCCTATAATGGGACTGAGGAATCTACTTGTCTGTGCATTAGATGTTCATTGGGCTATTTCCTGCCCAACATCATCTCCAAACCGGAACAGGAATGATAGTTTGCAGCTCTTCACAGGCAATGAATGTTCATCTAGCCTTGTGGAAATAAAGCAAAGGCAACGGCTTGAACTTACTAATCAGGCTTATCACAGTAAAAATCAGCTTTGGTTTGCAAGAACCTCTGGTTCCAATCAAATTCAGAAAAAGAGAACTTCTCATGTGGAGAACAGTTTTAAAGAAAGTATAATTTCTTCCAATCTTGTTGGTAAGGAGATAACAGATGTCCCGAAAGGAATTTTTGATGTCATCAGGGGTCTCCGATTGTTTCGTGTGGATATTCTCAAGTAAGCAAAGCATGTTATGCAAGTTAGTATATTAATGTCAAGTTTGTTATTTCTTTAGACGTAGATTTAGGTAAAGCTTCCACAAAACAGATAGGCTAGAGTTAGATGCGGTGGCATACATAAGATTCTGCACAAGCATCATCGGTCTATTATCACAACTCGGCTAATGTATGATTTTTAGTTTGGGTAATGGAGGTTCTAAAGCTTTACTTCTTGTCCCAATTTAATTTATTTGGCATTCTTTACTGCTAGTGTCGCTCTGTTACATATATACCTATTGATTTTTTCAGTCTAATTACGTTTTGAATTTTGGTTTCCTCAGTTGGATGAACTCCAACACTTCACTATCACATTTGGATGGGCTTTTCCTGCGTTTACGATTAGGGAAGTGGGAAGCAGGGCGAGGAGGTACATGATACTATGTTGCTTGCATAACTGGTAAGCTTTCATTATAGTTTGCGTTACAAACTTTTTCCCTGCCTTTCAATGCAGAACGGATTGTTATCTTTGTTGTTTTACACTTGTCTATAATCTTCCTTTTCTGGAATAATGCAGAACGGATTGTTATCTTTGTTTTTTTACACTTGTCAATAATCTTCCTTTTCTGGAATAATGCAGAACGGATTGTTATCTTTGTTTTTTTACACTTGTCAATAATCTTCCTTTTCTGGAATCCGTAGGTGTAAAAGGAGAAAAATCTGAGAGAGATTCTAGGAACATATCAGTAAATGTCTGTGGAGTCGAGTGTTTTGTGGGAAGCCAATATGTCTCCAACCAGGACTTTTTGGAGGTAATATACTTTATAGTTACCCGTTATACAGAGTTTTTTTATGGAGCTGTCGATGATAGTTTTTGTTTTCTGGGCAATCAAATGATGGTTCCTAATTCAACTAGACATAGGGAAAGCTAAGGTTATCATCATGCTTAGTTAACCATTTCTGTTATATCTTTTTATTTGGAAAGCTATACCCTGCATCAAACAGCCTCTTGCAGAAATGCAGGGTAAGGCTGCGTACAATAGTCCCTTGTGGTCCGGTCCTTTCACGGACCACGCACATAGCGGGAGCTTAGTGCACCGGGCTACCCATACCCTGCATCAAATGATGGAAGTGAGGCTATTATCATGTTAAGTACTTCGTTTTTCTTCTTCTCTTTAGGGAATTAATCACTTTTATATGTAAAGATTAAATAACATGTTTGCAGGAAACATCATATTCAGTTGCTTACTTGGCTGCATGATTATGCTAATTTGATGTTGCATCTAATTGTCCTGGTGTTGTTTTTACCTGACTCTTTTATGTGCGCTAGTATATAGCAGCCACTTTGAATTCACTGACTCTAAATATGAAATCCGTTTCTAATTCTTTACAGGATGAACTAACTACTTGGTGGCGCAAAACGTTGGAGAGTGGCGGGAAGGTTCCTGCAGAAGAAGATTTAAGACAAAAATTCGAGGAGCGCATGAAACTAGGGTTCTAAGAACTCGTCACACCAACACATTAGTACCGAGTTTGGTTAATCCAAGAGTGTCAAACCAGACCAAGAAATGAGCTATTCCACCATCTTGTAAATAAGATTTTGGGTGCTATTTCACAACATTCTTTGTTCTTTTTATCTAATATTCTAGACATGTGAGATTGAGAATTATTTTTTAGTGTTCATCTTTTGTATATAGATGAATTTGTTTGTGATCATAAGGCAATGAAATGTTAAATAACACGAGACATTGTTTGTAATAGGAAAAGAAACTAGGTTGCTGTTGGTAAAGAACATTTTTCCAATATGAGCATCTTCTCCATCTCAAATAGCGTAGGACACAAAGGGTTGCGGAGAAGTGCGAGTGTCTGGTTTGGTCCATATATTGACTCAACTTCAGCACATCAAATGACAAATCGGGTCTTGTATGGGTGAAATAATTCAATTTTCCAACAAGGTGCCGATAGATGGTTGGATCAAGAAGCAAATGACCTCCATCAGCGTGAAGCTTGGATGAAGGTTCAAGCGGAGAAGAGACTGAGGAGAGAGCAGAAACATCAAACTCCTTCAATAAATCTAAGGTATATTTCCTCTGACAGACTATAATCCCCTATTTTTCTCGAAGTATTTTCATACCTAAGAAATAATGAAGATCACCCAAATCTTTGACTTTGAATTCACTTTGAAGGAAAGACTTGAGTGTGGTTATTTCTTCTATATTATCTCCACTGATGAGAATGTCGTCAACATAAACAACTACTATAGAAACTAGATTGTTTGTCCTTTTGAAGAATAAATAATAGTCAGTTAAGGAGGAGGAATAACCCTTAAAACTTAAAGCACCAGCAAGCCGAGCATACCACTGTCGTGAAGCTTGTTTTAAACCATAAAGTGACTTCCTAAATAAACATACATGATTGGGACTAGGTGGGGGTATACCTGCTAGAAAATTCATAAACACATCCTCTTGTAAGTCACCATGTAAAAATGCATTACTAATATCCAATTGATTAGATAGGCTAATTCTTCTTTACTGCAACAACCATTAAACAATGGATGGTAGTCATTTTGGCTACATGAGAAAATGTGTAGTCAATTCCTTCCCTTTGAATGTCCCCCCTGACCATCAATCGTGCTTTGAGTCTTTCTACAGTTCCATCTGAATTATGCTTGACCTTGTAGACCCATTTACAAGGTAGGGCCTTCTTGTCCTGTGGTAAAAGAACCACATCCCATGTGTGGTTAGCTTCTAAAGTTTCACTTTCTTAATGCATTGCTTGTATCCATCCAGGATGGGCAGAAGCTTGAGAGAAGCTGGTAGGTTCTGAAATCTCTGAAAGAGATTGCATCATCTGCCTGTTATGAGCAGAAAGTGCACCAAAGCTAAAGACATTAGGCTGGCAGGGCTGAATAAAACATGACGAAGTAAGGTCAGTCAAATAAACATTAGAGCAAACAAAATCTTTGAGGTGAGCAGGCCATTTAGAAACTCTAGTAGACTTCCTAATTCCTGGTGTAGAAATAGATGTAGTGGGCAAACCAGTGGTGATGGAGAAGGAGGATGAGAAAAGTGAGGTGATGGTGAGGGAGAAAAATGAGGTGAGTGGATCCCGGTGATACTAGGTGATGAAGGTGGTGTAGGCTCAACCAAAGAGGTGTTTGGTGGAAGGTCATTGGTGGTTGTGTCCATAGGAGAAGGGGTGGGAAATATAAGATCTGGATTAAAAACAAACTGAGTGTGGTGTGGTGGCTGAAGCAAAAGGATAGATGTTTTCATGGAAATGAACATCTCTAGACACAAGAATTCTTTTAGTATCTAATTCCAACACTTTATACCCTTTTTGAACTAAAGGATATCCCAAAAATACACAACTCTTTACCCTTGACTCAAATTTGTTTCTACTACTAGACAAGGTAAAAATATAACAAAGACATCCAGATGACCTTAATGAATCATAAGAAAGAGACTGATTGAACAGAATAGAATCGGGTGTTTTCCCTTGAGGAACCTTAGAAGGTAGCCTGTTTATCAGGTAGGTTGCAGTTAATAGACACCCTCCCCAATATCTGATAGGCACCTTAGATTGGAAAAGCAAAGCCCTTGCTATTTTCAAAAGATGTCTATGTTTTCTTTCAACTATGCCATTCTGTTGAGGTGTTGATACACAAGAAGTCTGGTGTATTATTACTTGAGAGCTGAGAAAAGCTGCTTGCTGTGATCCTTTGCCTAATTCAAAGGCATTGTATGTTCTCAATTTCTGTACCTTGACTGCAAATTGCCTTTCTACCATTGTTAAAAAATTCTTTAAGATTGTGAAAGCATTACTCTTGGTGCTTAACAAAAATGTCCAAGTACCCCTGCTATAGTCATCCACAATAGTTAAAAAATACTTAAAGCCATTATAAGTAGGTTCCTTATAAGGGCCCCATGTATCCACATGAATTAATTCAAATGCTCTTTTGGATTTGATTTGACTCAAAGGAAAAGGAATCCTAGTTTGCCTAGCTTTAGGACAAATATCACATAAACAATCAGAATTGGAAGGCAATGAAACAAAACTAAGATTCTTCATTGATGAAAAAGGCATATGCCCTAATCTAATATGCCAAAGGTTTACATCTGTAACCACATTAGTAGAAAATGGAAAGACAATTGAAATTTGATTGAAAACACTATGAACTGAAGGTGAAACAAGTTTCTCCTTAAGACTAGGCTGGAACAGGTAGAGTCCTTCATTTGTATCACCAAAAACTTGAGGCCTCTTTATGAAAGGGGCATGCAATAGACATTGAGTATGAGTGAATCAGATTATACATTGAAACTGAACAGAAAATCTATTAACTGATAATAGATTATATTTAAAACTAGGCACATGAAGGACCTTTTCTAAAATAAAATTAGCAGAGATAGGGACTTTCTCTGTATGTGTAACTGTTACCCTAAATGAATTAGGCAGATTTATGTGTAAAGGTGTAGGAAGAGGATCTAAAGAGATAAAAGTATTTGAATCAAAACACATATGTTCTGAAGCCCCTGAATCAATTATCCAAACACTGGTATTAAAAACTAAAAAACAGCAGCCAATATATTTGTTAATAGTACCAGCTACTGCATTTGCATTTATTTCTAAACTGCTTCCTCTATCTGAAATTTTCACTTGTTTGATCATCTGAACCAATTGTGAAAATTGATCCTTAGAGAGGTGTTGGTTTAACACTTCATTGTAACTGCTGACTCCATCATCTGCTTGATCCCCTGTAAGCACTCCATTGCTCCTGATCTGATTTTGACTTCCTTTAGCATTTGTGAATTCAAAATCCTCAGGAAATCCAATAATCTTGTAACAATCTGCAACTGTATGTCCTATCTTTTTGCAATGAGTGCAAGATACATTAGGATTGAACCTTTGTTTCTTTGGTTTTGAAGCTGTGTTTCTTTGTGATTGATTTGCAAATCTCTGCATATTATTTCCTGATTTCTGGAGTTGCATGGGGTTTTCCCCCTTTTGAAATTATTGAGTGTGCCGTGTGTTCTTTTGCATTTTCTTGTTTTTTCTTAGTGCATAACTTCCCTGACTTCCCACCATGAAGGATGAGGAATCAGAAGAAATAAGAGGATTCATATAGACCTCTCTCCGACTCTCATCCTGTAATACTAGAGAATAAGCATGATCTATGCTAGGTAGAGGATTCAACATTAAAATGTTCCCCCTAGCCTGACCATAAACATCATTTAGTCCCATGAGAAACTGTATAAGTCTCTCATCTTCTAAGGATTTTTCCAGCTTTTGCTTCCCAGAACATACACAAGTACAAACACACTTTACATCACAAATTAGAGAGTCTAGCTCATCCCATAAACGTTTGAGTTTTGTAAAATAGCTTGCTATATCATTTGTTCCTTGAACTAAAGAAGATAATTCCTTACGCAAGTGATACAATTTTGCTTCATTTGATTTTCCAAATCTGTGTTCCAGACTGATCCAGAGTTCTCTTGTAGATCTGGAGTAGATGACACTATCTCCAATGTCTTTGGAGAGTGAATTCAACAACCAAGAAGTCACCATATCGTTGCATCTAGTCCATGGTTGATAGTCCTTAGATGTGATAACAGGAGGAGCACGGGTTCCATCAATAAATCCCAGTTTGTTCTTTGTTGAGAGTGCAATCAGAACTGACCTTCTCCAACCTTGAAAACCCCTTCCATCGAAGGCTGCATTCACGAGACTCATTCCTGGAGCATCTGATGAATGCAAGAAGTAAGGGTGATTTGGATCGAAGTTAGCTCCATTGCTGGAACCAGTTTGAGGTACAGTAAGATCTATTGTATCAGTCATGGTGACTGAGACTGTGATGAACAGAAAGTTGAAGGAGAAGGAAGATCAATCCCAGAAACGAGCTATTGCTCTAATACCATGATAGAATGTAAATATGAAAAATAGATTTGTGGAAATTTTCTATGTATTTCATCATCTGCAGAAGCAGTGTATTTATACAAGTATTTGTGTAAAGAAAAACAGAAATGATAAAGAATCATCTATACAACTGGCTATTTCTTATTTGTTATCTAATAACTAAATAACTGAAGAATATTCTTCTCTATCCTATTTTCACGGTGCACATGTGAGAGAGGTAAATGTGAAATCCAAAGCTATACAACTGTTAATTGCTTTATCTGAACGGCCCTCATTTAATCTATCATTTTTTTTTAATCAAAGGTCAGGATTGAGCCACGAGTCCAAAGAAGAGGACTTAGTCTTTGTCCTAGATATGTCCGAAAGATAGTCATTTGACTTGAAACCTAGAGTGTTCTGTCCTTCATACGGTCTTCACATCAAATAGAATAGTGTAATTTATAACGAATTTATACCATAAAATATCAATGTAACATAAACCATCAACCAGTGAGCTTGGAATATTCTCATCAACTTTTTCAAAATGTTCCATTCAACTTGGCTTCCTTAATTACATTGACTAATGCAACTATAAACAAATAAATAAATAAAAAGAGAAAGCTAGCTAGCTAGGAGTCTAATTTTCTGCCGTTGGCATGTTATAACGGCAAACAGGGCAGTAATGGCTCTTTTCTAACCACTTAGTAATGCAATCTCCATGAAACATATGTGAGCAAGGCAAGCAAAGGATCTTTTTCCTCTCTTTTGCGAGTTGTTCCAAATAAATCACACAGTCATCATTCAAACACTGATCTTCGTCAATCTCCATTCTTTCCGGCAACTGCATTATGGATGACTTACTAGCAGGTATCATCATCCCATTGAAGCGCNACACTTTGAGTGTTTACCAAACGCTCAGATAAGCCAAAAGGTGCTTATAAGCCAGTTTGACCAGCTTATAAGCTTAGCCAAACACCCTCGCAGTCGTAGAAGTCTGAATTCTAAGAATCTGTGCCTTGCTCCTAAATTCAGAAGGAAAGCTAGCTGTGTAGTTTCCTTTACTTTAGTAAGAGGAAATGACGAGTCTTTCTAGAAACCCTTCTGGTAAAGCTCGGTTTAACTCGACTGAGAGATCATCATTGGCAGGAAAATTTAGGACCAGAAAGAAAGATAGCCCAGTTTGCTCCAGACCTAAAGCCAGTTCTTTGATCTGTTCATCCTTCAAGAAAGTTTCACTTCCAAAAGAACAGTAAATGACTATTCCAGCTTCAAACTTGTTTAACCAACTAGACCACCTCTCTTCCAATTTACCAGAAGGTGGATCAGGGACTACTGGTCCTACAAGAAAAACAGGTTTATTGAATTGTGCTTTCACGTATTTTACATAAGGGCCCTCCATTTGAGAACAAGTCTTGGCTAGTATAGCAGAGCAACCCTCTTGAGTCCTGAGAGTCGCTCTTGAAAATGTATAGAAAATCTCGAGCCTCAAAAGTTTTGACTGAAGTGACAGAGGACAATTTGGCCATCCTATTGCCCAACCTTAAGGTGGTTAGTCCTATTTACCAAAAAGCTACCTTCTGACGTCAAAGAGCCGACCACCAATAATCCTTTTAACAGCACTTGAAGCCAATTTAGCTGACTCTGCTGTTGCATATGTTATCTTAATGGTCCCATTCTCATATTCACTAGCGTCTCTCACTGAAATGGTTAACAAGTCTATTTTTGGTGACGGAGGACACGTCACCAGTAACTTTAACCTCAACAATTTGGTCCCGCTCCTCCTGTTACATAAATAAAAACCAATAAATTGGTAACCAAAAACTACTCTATATTGGTAATCAAAGTAACAATTACATCAGACCCAACCTACCAGATCCATCATTATGACATCAATGTTGGTTTCCAATCCATTGTCAGATAGTACCTAAAATATTTCACACATAAAATAAATAAAAAATATTTAGAAAAAGATACAATTTAAAATTGCACAACTCTTACAGCATCATTCATTAGGACATCACGGTTGCCTTCCAGCTTGTCAGATGGTACCTAATTATTTCACACATAAAATAAATAAAAAAATATTTAGAAAAGATACAATTTAAAATCCAATTTTCAAGAAAGTGATCTCACAAATCTAAAAATAAATTCAGAAATTAAGAACTTTAAATGAGAATTCACCACGTGAATCATATCTTCATCAATGTATGATTCGTGAATGTAGTTTTCTCCGTACAAAAAAAACAAAAAATAGCGATCAAATCAAATGTACATAAAATATATAAAAATTTCTAATCCAATACTCTCAAAAAAGTAGTATTAATCAATCAGTTGATATAAAACGATAGAAAACCAATTTTGAAATTAAAGATTTTGAATACGTACACTCATGACTCTTCTTCTTTTCTTTCTTTCTTTTTTTCTTTTCCTTCAAGATTTGATGTTCTTCTTCAAGATTTGTATTCAAAATGCTTGAACATTCATTTTGAATACATGGCCTTTTATAGATATGCATTTTGACCGTTATGCTCCCTTTTCACTTAATCACAAATGTTTTTTCTTCTATTTCTTCTTAAGTGAACTTAGTAAACTTCACTGAATAATAAACTTAATCACAAAGTAGTACTTATTTTTTTGGACTTTTCAAAAATAATATTTGACAAATGTATATTATTTGTACATTAATTATAATATACATATGTTTATGCATTATCTGTAAAAGTTACTCCTTCCGTTCACTTTTACTTGGCATGTATATTAAAAATAGATTTTCATTTTTATTTGACACTTTACGCATATCAAGAGAAAGACAAAATTTTTTCCCTGTTATACCCACAATATTTATTACTCATTTCAAATCATTTTCTCAAATCCAATAAAATATACATCAATTAATATGGGTATCATGGTAAATTATACACTTCATTTATTATTTTCTTAAGGGGCGTGAAAAGTCAAAACGTGCCAAGTAAAAGTGAACGGAAGGAGTATTCCGGTTTTAGTTAATACTTTCAGCTAGTGGTGTACATGGACCGGGTTGGTTCGATTTTATCAACACCAAATCAACCAACTATATCGGTTTGGATTGGTTCGGTTTTGTCGGATTTTTCGGGTTTATCGGGGTTTTTTGTTACATAAATATTATTTTAATCTTACTTTGTTAAATTTTCGATAAGTAAATATATGTTTAGTGAAAATTAAAAAAAACTGACAAATATATGATCTATTAACATATTCTTATGGGAGAATTTTCTTAGCAAAAGCAAGATAGATGAATTTAGAAAGTACACATGACTTGGATGTCACGCCCCGACCACGGGAGTGGGACCGACGCTCAACCTAGATACCCCGGTCGAGCAAGCATGCACAATGTCGTCTACCCAACTTACCCATGAACAAATAGAAGATACATTACATTAATTAAACAATGATAGGTCATGTGAACAACGCCATTTCATTACCAAATTACGTCATTAACAGGTTTCAAAATACATACACTCATAGTTTGATGTGGAACATATGATACAAATACATCTTTTTTATTAGGAAATAATAAAAAAATATGATTAGAAGAAATTAGCTAATTAGTCGAATAACAATAATATAAAACTAGAGATTACGTGATCAGTTTTGGAATATGTTGACTATTTAAAGGTTTGGTTCTCGTGGAGATTCTAGGGATGGGAGAATCAAATTAAATAATAATTTTCGAAGTGGATGTGATCACTAAAAAATTATTTGGACCTCACTAACATCCTATCCATTACTTATTGGGACTCGGTATTTATATCAAATTCAAATAATTTAACCTGAATAATAGAAAATCAAATTGAAAAATATACATATTATAATTATAGTTAAGTGATAAATATGTCAAAAGCTAAAACATATATCTTGCATTTATTGAATTAGTATAAATAATAAGTGGGGGAGAAATTTTTATCTCTCTATTATTTTAGTTTTTTTAAATAAAATATATTCCCTACTCTTAAATGGCGAATAAGATATTTGTGAAAACTCATTTTCATGGATTTAATTCAAATATATTCACGTGTATTAACAAAAAAATGGTTGAGATGTGTAGTCAGAAAGAAAAGAAGTGAGGGGTGAAATGGTCAATTAAAACTCAATGAGTATTTTGTGTGAAGTCCAATTTCCAAAGTTGTTAGCTCTATCCCTTGTGACATAAACCTAGTGGAAAATGACAATTCCTACCTAAAATTCTGTTAAAAATCTTATTGCAATAGACATTCACAATACTTCAATTTTAGTTCTACAGATGAGATATTTCAATCAAATGAAACACTCACCAAAAAGAAAAAAAATCTAATTTTGGTTCAAATTAGTTTTCTCAAGAAATACTGTTCACATAAAAGTAATCTTATAAATGTCAAAATAATAACTTGTTATAATTGAAAGTGGTGCTAAAGTAAGAGATTGATGAGAGGGAAATTTTTGCTTAAAACTCGATTTACACAAGTTGATTCTTTTGTTCGCGCTTAATTTTAAAAAAATTTAGTGCCGAAATACAAATTTAGAGAGAAATTATTTATTTGAAATTTTTTGAGAAAACATTCTTGAAGAACGTCCGAGTCAATAATTGTAACTTACATTTGGATCGTTTAATTATTTCTAATGAAATTTCAAAAATTCACTCTATTCTTTAGTATAAACATTATTTTTGGTTTTTGAACTTTTTAGCAAAAGCTTAAGAGCTTGTTATATATCAAAATGAAAGGTCTAAAGTTGCATAGCATGTGACATCATATCCATTTCATTTTCATAAAATAGCTTATTGATAAGGTTTAAATGACTTAAAACAAGTAGGAAAATTACAAGTAGGCCTAAATGTTACTCTTTAAAATGACATGAAAAATCTCTACGATTGTTTTTATGGTAAGAAGTCAAATTTAGGCCTCTAAAGAGGGGACCTTTAGCAATAAAAGAAAGAATTGATAGCAATTTGACACAATTGAAAGCTACAGGTCAAGTGGTCAATGTTAATCCAAAATTATGGGACCAAAAGTGGGGTCTATATTTAAACAAATAAATCCATAGTTATTTAAGGCTTCTGGCCCAATAAGGATAATTTGCAGTGTATGCAAAAAGTGGACCTGCGTAAATGCGAGATATTTTGTGGCCTAACTGCCTTTTATTCATAGTATACGCATGTCACCAAGTAGTATAATGGAATCAATGCGATTCTCCATTTTTAACGGGAAGACTCAGGGTTGAGTTATAGGAATGGAGAAACTCTTGATAGCAAGTATTTTTCCTTAGTAAATCCTGAATGGTTAAATTTAAATTAATCGGGTTAGTGAGTTTCAGACAGTGAATGCATAAAACACAAAAGAAAAAGAAGGTGTAGTGTATGTATGTGAGTCTATATCCATTTCATTCTTCATGTTCTTAGGTTAAGGGTGGCATGTGGGCCGATTAGGACCGGGACCGGCCCAGGACCGCAAGTCCAAATGGGCGGTGAGCCTAAACGGTCCTAACCGGATAGGATCGGGACCGTGGGGAGGTGGGCTGGGTAGTGGGCCGGTCCCATAGGCGAGGCCCACGAGACCGGGACCGGTTGAGAAGTGGGCTGGTTCAAGCGGTCCTCAACGGGCCTATCCAGGCCCAACGAATAATTTTTTTAAAAAAAAAAAAAAATTTGACCGTTTGGCTATTTAAAAACTAGCCGTTTGGTCTGCCAAAATAGCCGTTGGCTATTTGCAAAATAGTCATTTAATCCTCAAACTTTGTTTTAACCCCAAACTTTTTATAATTACACTTTTTCCATATTTTCAACTATAAATACCTTCTCATTCTTTCATTTTTCTCACAAAATCATCAATCTCTCTCTAATATTCTTCTATAATTGCTTACTTAATTGTTACAATTTGTGCAAAATTGTGAAGTTGGTGAATTGAAGTCTTCAAGTCTTTAAGTCTTCAAAGAAAATTAATTTTCAACAAATTGTTCGTCAATTCGGTAAACTCATTCCAACTCTTAAGTTTTAATATTATAGTTTTGTTTGTTTTATTTACTTTGCTTGATTAATTAAGATGACTTATTCCTTAAAAAAAATATTTAGTAAAAATAAGGGAA